ATGTAATTGTGTTACCTGGACAATTACTAATTGTAGTTCTCAATTTGTGAAGCAACCGGGCCGTTCACGACACACACTAGAGAAATGGAAATGATACATTCTCAGTCATTTACACTAATGGAATGGGAACGGAGCTAAGAATAACTTAAAACAGCATCTACATTTTTAATATACTGCTCCCCTTGAGGGTTATACTATGAAAAAAGTTCTAGAAGGCACAGAAGTGGAAATAAACTATAATTTTGTCCCTGGGTAGAAACACCTATTGTCATTTATAACAAGCATGGCAGCTATTTGCAACTGCCAGAACCCGTTCATCTAAGACCATAAGCTCATGAGGAACAAGGCTCAGTCTTTCCCTTTATGGTTGTGTCCTCAGCCCCTGGCATAGAGCCTGGCACATGCAAAATGTCCACTTCATATCACTGAAAGAATGAAGACAAACTCCTGGAGTTTTACAATAAGTGATGCGTTCATTTCCCTGCTTTGCCCTCCTTGGTATTTAGTGTCCTGATTGTGACAGTTAGGGACCACCCATTCCAAAACATCATTCATGGTATTTCTAAGAAAGTTGAGACCTTCCAGGACGTCACATGCCTGTCTTTCACTGGTAACGTTTCCTCTGTTGCCAGCCCTCTGTTCTAGCCCTAGCAGTCTACTCTTGAGGTTTCCCCCCCTCTTCCCTTCGTTGTCTGTTTTATCTTCTTTCTTGCCAATCTCTGGTGGAAAGGATAACTTCCTGTTTGGGGAAAAACACATAAACTGGATATTGCCCCTAATGGGCAGAAATAATGCAATAGTTGCTTTGTAACACCTTTACATTTTTAAATATTCCCCTTTCCCTTGCCAAGAGCCCAGCCATGTTGCTGTTTTAGCATTTTTATGCCTGTGATATTTTGAGGTGTAGACCACCATGTCACTTACAATTCTGATTCAGATGCCTTTGGGAACCACAGTCACTGGGGAATTCAGTTGCAGATGGACGTGGAATTAGTTATGGGCGATTGTTCAAGTTCAGGCCCGAGCCTTACTCACTATGTGGACCAGAGTGCTGATAAAGGAGAAAGGGTCTCTCTCTACATGAGGCTCTGACAAACCTGAAATCCAGACTTGACACATAGTTTTGAATAGAGAATTATAATTCTCTGAACTTATGTTGATTGCTAGTGGTCCATAAAGCATCAAAAGGTTAATGCATGTATTGCTTTTGGAAGACAGTAGTAAATAATGACAAATACTAAAGGACCATCATGCTGCTCCTTGGTGGATGTGCCCTACAGTGCATTCCACATTAAAGACCCTGAATTGAATTCTTATTCCAGAGAACCAAATCTACTTCAGGAGCATGGCTAGGTTTCCATTTCTTTTTCTATAACTTCTATCTTATCAGGCCAAGATTACACTATATCAATTTTTACTGCTCTCTCATACATGTGTGCCAAATTTGCAACTAAAAATATATATTTTGGTTTCTACTGAGCAAAAGTCATTCAAATTTACTACACCTTCAAATACTCCATTAACACAAATATATTGGGCTGCCAGTAGTTATCTTTTATTTAAGAATAAAAGTCATGGGAGGATGTGGCAGGCAGGCTTGGCTCCATTCATTAGAAGTTTAATCATTTCTAGTATTTGGAAAATCAAAGGGAAGGAACAGGGTGGCCAACATGTAGTTATAGCTGGTAAAATGATTGGATCTATTACATAATGGAAAATTTCTCATAACAATAAGGCATAGCAAGTAGCATTTTAATACGTATGAGGCCATTTTAAATAGTTCAAAGCCAGAAGTCAATTAGAATATTAAATACGGTAGAAAATAAGCCAATGGTATTTGTTATCTAAGATGATTGGAGTTTAATTGCCACTGCCTGCATGTAGTTACTATAAACCTCTCATCAAAGACACATCCTTGCGCCTTTCCCATTTGATACAAGGAAAGGAATGTTCCAAACATGTGCCTGTCTCATAAAATAATTCATTTCGGTCAAAATACATTCTTCTGATTGGAAATTGAGCTGCCATGGATGACACATATATTTGCTTGTTCAGATGTTGCTCCAAATTATTTGACTTCTTTAAAGGAATAGCTCTAAGGCATCTTCCAAGCATCACAAAACTGGGTTTCCCCGAGGCATAATTTTTCCCCAGAAAGTATGACTTGGGGATATATCCTCAAAACACACAGAGCATACTGAAGTGCAGAGAGGATAGGTGACAGGATAGGAAATTAGTTGATTTCCATCTCTCTCCACAGAACAAAGACACCTAGTTTCCCTCCATAGGTAAAAAGGTAGAAGATAATATCAGTAACGCATTGTAAATGCAGTCATTAATGCGTGTGATTCTCAGGCTGGAGTTTACAAAGGCTTTTACTTCTCAGTTAATGTTTTTAAATTGTGGTAATATACACATAACATAAAATTTACCACCTTAACCATTTTTAACTGTATAGTTCAGTCTTGTTAAATACTTCCACATGTTGTGCAACCAATTCATTTAATCTCGCAAAACTGAAAGCCTGTACCAATTAAATAACAACTCCCCACCCCTCTCTCCCTCTAGTCCCTGGCAACTACAGCTCTACCTTCTGTCACTATGAGTTTTGCTAATCTAAGCGCCTTACCTTCGATAAGTAGGACCATCCTGTATTTATTGTTTTGTGACTGGCTTACTTCACTTAGCATAATGTGCTCAAAGTTCATCCATGTTGCATTAATAGCGTCAGAATTCCTTTCCCTTTTAAGGTTGAATAATATTCTGTTGTAGGTATATACCACATTGAGTTTATCCATTCATCTGTCAATGACACTTGGGTAGCTTCCGCTTCTTGGCTATTGTGATTAATGCTGCTATGAACATGGGTATAAATATCTGTTCAAAATCCAACTTGCAATACTTTTGGGTATACACACAGAAGTGGAATTGTTAAATTGTATGGTGATCCTATTTTTAGTTTTTGAGGAACCCCCATACTATTTTCCTTTGTGACTGCATCACTTTACATCCCCACCAAGAGTATACAAGGATTCTAATTTCTCCATATCCTTGCCAACACTTGTTATTTTCTGTTTTTGTTTTGGTTTTGATAGCCATCCCAATGGAGGTGAGGAAGAAAGACTTTTGAAGTTTCAAGCCAAACCTGCTTTGCTATCTGCACTTACACATGATTTAAAATATAAACTGAAATATAAAATAAGTTTCAGTATTTGTAATTTAAATGGGATAAAACTAAACTACATCTTTTAAAACTGTGAATCTACAAGATATGCATTCAGTTGGGAAAGACAGTTCTAATAGGTCTGAAAGTTTTATAAAATTCTTAAGAGAATAAACTCACATGACAGAAAACAGCGCTTTGTGGTAAAACTGTTGCCAAATGCTAACTAACTAAATACCTATGCAAAAATGTTTGAAGCAAATCAATTTTGGTTGCTTATTAGCAACTAAATATTTAAAATAATGTAACTAATCTATTTCCTGCTCTTTCCCCCTTCTGGAAAGGTTACTCAGCTTAGAAACTTGACTGAACTTCTTTGTGAACCTGAAACATTCAATTCAGTAGAGAAAATGTGCCAGCTCTCTAATATGAACTTCAGGAACCTGTGTGAAGAGAGTGTATTTCATGTGCAACTCCTGGAAGCAGCGGAGCTTGGCACTGAAATAGCAACCAGCTTACTGTACCGTGACAACATCATATCTAATAAACTGAGGGATTTGCTTACTGGGGATCCAGTCAAAATTAATTTAAATATGGACGGGTAAGTTTTTCCATTGTCTCCTTCCTTGGTGAAATCCCTTCTCAAATTACTGAAATGCCTTGTCCAATTTCTTTTCTGTCTCATTCCAGGTTTGTAGAACAGGCATTGCAAATGAATTACTTGGAAAATATCACACGATTAATGCCAGCCATAGAATCCATGCTGCATGTCAACAACAGTGATGACACTTCTGAAAAACCAGGTGTGTCCTCATGCATATTTTAAACGCTGTCTTATTAGAATGCATGTGACTTGCTTGCTGCAGTTGTAAGAAAGGCTTTTTTGAAGTTCCCCACAAAACCTGCCTTGTATCTGGTCTTACACATCAGGAACCTGAAGCTTTCAAATATGGTTACGTGGTGAAAGTAAAAGCACAGAAAGCTAGCAGAGAATGAAACAGGGAAATTTGATTTCACGGCAAAAGATCTTCAAAAATTTAGCTAGGGAGACCAACTTACCTTTTGTTTCTCTGATATATTAAAGTGCATTTGATAGCCAGTTGCGAGAGCTAGGATGAAATTTATTTACTTCCATGAGAATAATATGATTAAAAAAAAAAAAAGCTGTGCTGTTCGCTATAGAAATCTCAATTCAGAACCTCCTATTAGTATTCTGAGCATGATGTATCACACAGACATTTCTTCATTGTACAATACCTCAGTACTGAAAAGAAAGGCATTCAGAATTTTGGACAACAGACAGCCACAAAATTGGAAGGGCACTAAGTCCAAAAATAAAGAAAGTGAATTTTCATGAGGGATACTTCATAAGGAAATCGAAAGGCATTTGCAGAAGGGAGATCATCATCTGCCAAAATAAAGTTAAAATATTATGCATTAAATGACCTAGGTATGAAATAATTATAATCGCTGTCCTTAAAGAGTTTAAAGTTAAGCACATTCTATTTAAAAGTGAGGTCATGATGTGAAAACCCTTTATAAACTGTAGCGTGCTGGGCAAAGTTAAGGAAAAATGCCCTGTGGCATAATGTTGTGGATTTAGTTAACCTTGACCTCAGCTGACAATATTATATGACCCAAGGTTTAAAAGCACGCTGAATTTGTGTGATGTTTGAAATTAAATGGAGAGAGGTATATTTAGGGCATTATGTGATCTGAATCTCTGAGGAAATTGCATTTCCTTTGAATGCAACTTGAGTTGTAGACATCTGAGGGAAATTTACAGCACAGATCAATCTGTTACCTTGGGTTAATGATCTCATGATAGGAACAAGTCTAAGTCAGGTAGAAATACATCCTAAAGGTTTTCCAGAACTGGAAACATAATATGTGTTTTATTCTGAAGTTTCCTCTGTGTTAACACAACTAAAACAAATCACATTGCAACCAACATGTGTTTCGTTTTGTTTTGGTTCGGTTTCTTGCAGGTCAATTAATAGAAATGTTTAGAGATGTTGAGGAGCTGAAAGAAGAACTGAGGAGAATGACAGGAATGTCCAATCGGAGTATCGACAATTTGCTGGCCATCCCTGTCCCAGATAAGAGAGCTGAGGTGGGGTGGAATGTATTTGTATTTACATCCAGTTTCTTAGACTCTAAATAGCATTTGGTATTTCTTGAGCACTTGTCAGTAAAATATTGAGTAGTTGAATGCAAATCTGGTGAATTTTTCACATTAGTGTTAAAATTAGGGGCCTAATTCTTAAGTGAACACAGAAGAAAAATCCTGAAGCAAGAATGTTATCACTGTTCTTTTCCCTGTAGCCTTCCTCCTCCTTCTTGCTTCCTTTGTCCTCTCCTTTTCTTTATCCCCAGATGGTTTTCTTTTCTTTTTAAGATTTTATTGGGGAAGAGGCAAACGGGAACAGCCAAGTTGTTGTCCTTCAATCTTAGTTGTGGAGGATGCAGCTAGCTCAGCTCCAAGTCCAGTCGCCATCCAGCTGCCCGTCGGCAGCTCAGGGCAGCTCAGCTCAAGGTGCCGTGTTCAATCTTAGTTGCGGGCGGGCATAGCCCACCATCCCATGCGGGAGTTGAACAGGCAGCCTTGTTGTTAGGAGCACGTGCTCTCACCAGCTGAGCCATCCTGCCACCTGTTGGCAGCTCAGCTTGGGTGCAGCTCACTGGCCCATGTGAGAATCGAACCAGTGACCCTGATGCTCAGAGCTCGTGCTCTTACTCAACTGAGCCACTCAGCCAGCCCAACCAGATGGTTTTCTTAAATAAACCATGCCATCAGTTCTTTGTATTCATTATCACAATCACATTATCTGAGGTAAATTTGCACATTCTGTTATGATGATATCAAAGTAAAGTTTCAGTAATCTAACTGGGAAAAAAATAGACTATTTACAATTTGTTGAAACTAAAATAAAAATGAATACTCAGTTTTACTTTGTAAAAATCCCAAGACAAGACACAATATATAAACTATACTGGGGCAAAAAAATTTTGGCAAAAAAAAATTTGGCAAAAAAATTTTGGCAAAAAAAATGTGTCCACGTGACTTGTATTTATCTTTTATTATCGGTATATATTGAGTATTACAATTTTAATACACTTTTTCCTTTCTTAAAATGTGTCTACTTTTTTTGGGCACCCTCTGTATATGGTCAAGGGAACCCTGGGTATGTTTGTGGGTGTAGTAAACATTTGTTGGTGTGAAAATGAATAATGTCATATCCACATAGGGTGATAATAGAGTTTTCCACTTGAAATGTCTTATCTTTTATTCCTTATCCATGGCCATTGTCTGGAAGTGTCATAGAAATGTTCCCAAATAGATGCAGAGCTTAAGGCTTCATTCATTTAAAACTTGCGTGTGTCATTTCTAAGCACAACCCAGCCATTCTCCTATATTGGATCATTTTTTTTTTAAAGCCTTTAAAGCTGCTTTTGGAAAATATTTATGTTTACTTATGTTATGTTAATTGGTTCCCCCATATAAAAATTAAACTGCTTTGCCTTCACTTTTTTCTTCTTATCCCAGCAAATAATATTCATTTGCCTTTTCCCTTTGATCTCACCTTTTGCTCATTTGATCCTAAGATCTAATTTTAGCAATCATGTTTTTGGCTTCTGAGGAGCAGATTCATTTTAATAAATTAAAAAATGTAAATGGAGAACATACATTCTTATTATCTTCAAAAAGAAAGAGAAAAAAGTGTCGATAATCTTGAATTTCTTAAACTTTTTATTTCAACTCGGTGGCCCTGGAGATGACGTCTTATTTCCCACATTCACACCTCACTTTTTACACAAGCTTACTCTTGTTAAAGGTTGATTGATTCACATTACTGTGTGATTCTGGGCCTTTTTTCTTTACCTTTTATCTCTGGATTCAAGCGTTCATTGTACAAGATCATACCTTCAAGTGGTTATAAAAATGAAATGCAATTCGAATAAACTAAGGTTAAATTTTAAAGCCAGTATGAGTCTTAAACTAGTATCCCCCCTGCCAAAATTACTGCATACGAATTATCTTTCTTGGGACAATCATTCACCCAGTCATTCAAGCAAGAAATCTAGGAATCATTGTTGACCCCTCTCTGTCTCTTTTCCCATCTTATTTCTTAAGCTTTCCAGTGAACTATGGACTCTCTATAGTTTTATTGATAGTAATTAGTGCTTTAAATAAATAAAAAAGTATTTCCTTTTGAGGATAATGTCATATTTTTAAATGACGTCTCAGAGTATTAGAAAAACCTTTCAAAAGGGACAGAGGGCTCTCAAAGGATTCATGGCTAAAATATTTTCCTTCCTTCCACTTGTAGATTATTTCTCATGTGTTCTGGCTTCATTCTTGTGATGCTAACATGGCCAATCCCCAGTTGGAAGAAGCAGTGAAGGAGCTCTGCAGCCTGCCCCTTCCAGAGAGATCCCGTCAGTCTTACCTCATCGGACTCACTCTTCTGCATCACTTAGACGTGTACAACTTCACATACAAGGCAAGTTGCTGCTGATGAAATAGTGTCATAGTCATAGTTTTGTATAAAAATATTTGATTACACATGTGTGCTCTCTGATACTTATAAGGAGTGAGATCCATTTATATCGCTTTTGGGATTATAGTTTTATTTTAAAGCTAAATGGGACCTTAGAGACCAGTTATTGCCAATTTGCACATTTATAGATGAGGAAATTAATATTATTGCCTCATTAACTCTCAGTTTGTATATCTAAGACCAGGAATTAAATTTAATAGATACTATACTAACATGTGAAGTACAAATGTTATGATAATTTTTTTTTACAGTGAACAAGCATTAATTTGGTAAGATAAAAATAAAGATAAGAACAAAGGTTGTTGTTTTTTCTTTTCAAGTAAAGGAATAAGGGTTTTGGTGTGATTCCTTCATTGATTTAGATAGAGGCTACCATTAATTAATCAGCAGAACAAAGCAAATGGTCATTATTAAGTCTTGGTAAAGTCAGCAACAACTCTATCTTGCAATAAATAGATGTTTATAAGTACTTATTTAATAAAAAAAATAAAAGAAAAATATAAACATAGGACAACTAAGCACTATGTGTATCTATATCTATAGTAAGTAAAAAATATTTACATGTTATTGAGAAAACTAAAAAAAAACAAACAACTGTCTCTTTTGGTAAGAAAAACTAAAAAAGCAGCACAGCTGACTTATGTTGTTGAAACATAGCAAAAGGGATGGAAATGTTTTAGGACTACTTATAAAAAACCCTTTTCTGAGTCCTCATTATCTCACACCTATATTTCTGTAATGAGCTTTAAAACTGGCCTCCCCGCCTTCACACTTGCATCCTCCCTGCCCCACCATCCCAAAGCAGCCAAGATAAGCCTTTTACAACTGATAAACATTATGTCACCCCTCTGCTTAACACCTTCTAGTGGCTCCCCATTTTATTCAAGTAAGCCCCCAGATCCTACCAGGGCTCCATCATCTGCACGACCCCTCCCCATCTAAAATTCTGTTTATTTGGCTACTCCCTGGGTCTAGGGATGCCATGTAGCACCACTGAGTGAGGCACCCTTCATGATTTGCAAGGCTATTTGTCTTTACTGAACATTGACTTCAATAAGACCTACTCTGACCACCCTTTAAGATGCAACCAACCTCAGCTATGGCACTCTCAAACCTCCTTTACCTGCTCTATTTGTTATCTATTGCCCTTCCAGAATAATACAACACTTTTTATTGAATATTCATTTTATTACTTATTTCCTGTACATGCCCCCCCCCATTAGCATATAAGCCCTGTAGTTCATCTTTGTTTACTGAAACACCTCAAATGCCAACAATGGTGCCTGGCCCACAGAGGAACTCAAAAAATACTCCTGAACTGAACAAACATTTATTGCACATAAACTATAACCTAAAATGCACTTGAAGTGATATCGATAATTTTGTTCATCTAAAATTTTAATTCTTATTTTGTAAGACCTCAGCCGAGCAGATATCAAACCAAACATTTCTTGTTGAATCTAGTAATTAAATGTGCATCTGACAAGTTGAAGACCACACCTAATTCTTTTAGGTGGTGCAAACAAAAATAATGAAAATTTTATCATCTTTAGTCAATTTATTTCACATCAATGTAGGAATGCCTAGAAATCTGGCAGAACTGGAAGAAAAATTAGAATGCTGATTCTAATTTAGAAAAATCTGATTGCAATTAGTAGCTGTGCTGTTGAGGCAGCTTTGTCTTCATGACGTTTTTCCAACTAAATCTTGTGCTCATAATGGTGGTTTATTTCTTCACTGGACATGCCAAGAGTTTTTCTTCCTAATGGACCTCACATGTTTCCCCTTCTGCCTATAACCTTCCTTTCCTTATTCTTGCAATGTCTTGTTCTTTCTCTCTTTTGGGGTCCATCTTGGAAAGACCTCCTTTGCTTTTTAGCTAAACTTTCCTTACATCCTCACACTACACAGCCTTTTGTTTGTTGATTTGTTTGATATCTGTTATTCCTATTAGAACAAAGCTCCTTTAGTGGAAGGAGGATTCCAATTTGTACACCACTATATGCTTATCACCTCATCCAGTGCTGGAAACACAGTGGGCATTTGATTAACATGCAATGAATAAATAAATGAGAGGATAAAATTACTTTAAAATTTTAAAATATTTTCAATGTATTTTTTTCTGCAGCAGCAAAGCATTATGGGGTTATGATTAAGCCTGATAAATTATGTGAGCTTTTTGACAGAGCCTTTGTGCTTTTAAGGAGCATGTTATATGGTGTTTGAGCAATAGTATACATGAAGAATTATGTAATTGATATCTGCCTTTCTGACTGCTAAAATCATTTATTTTGGGTAACTTTATTGAGGTATAATTTATATACCATAAAATTTACTCATTTTAAGTATACAGTTCAATCATTTTTTTAAGTAAATGTCTAGAATTGTGCAAATATTACCACGATCTGATGCTGAAATGTTACCATCAACCAAAAAGAAACCTACCCATTTACACTCACTTCTCATTCTGACCTCTAGCCTTGGCAACCTTTAATCTATTTTCTGTCTCTATAGATTTGCCTTCTTTAGGACTTTTATACAAATTGAATCAAGCAATACGTGGTCTTTGTGTCTGGCTTTTTTCACTTAGTATAATGTTTTTGAGTTTCATGTGTGTTGGAACATGTGTCAGTATTTCCTTTTTTTTATTGACAAATGATATTCTAGTATAAGGCTATACCTTTTGTTTATCAGTTCACTTGGATTATTTTTACTTGTTGGTTAGTGTGAGTAATGTTGCTATGGACATTCCCATACAAAGCTTTGTGTGGACATGTTTTCATTTCTCTTGAGTAAATACCTAGGAATGGAATAGTGGGGTTGTATGGTATATTTATGTTTAACCATTAAATAAACTTCCAAAATGTTTTCCAAAGTAGTTGTCCTTTTTCATATTCTCACCAACAATGTGTGAAGTTTCCAGTTTGTTTACATAAATCATTTTTTTAAAATTCTGTTTCTGTTAGGTGTTTTTCCCTAGAAAAGATCAAAAGCCAGTAGAAAAGATGATAGAACTCTTCATAAGGCTTAAAGGCATCCTCAATCAGCTGGCTTCTGGCACACGTCCACTGCTTGACAAAATGAGATCCCTGAAACAAATGCATCTGCCCAGAAGTGTTTCATTAACACAGGTAGAAAATTCACCCAGTAATGTTCTTGTTGGAAAATTCCTTTTGTCATATTAACTTTTATTTGAGATCAGTTATAATATGTTATAAGTGAAGTACATTGAAAAAAATCTCCTGCATTGAAAAAAAGTACATTGAAAAAAATCTCTCTTCTATTCTGGCAACATTTTTTTGCCACTTAAATGGGTAAAGTTTAATATTGTACATTTACATTTGGTATACATGTTTCAAAGGAATTGTAGAAACTATAAGGATACTCTAAGCATTATCAGGTTTTCTTTCTGTGCTGTTTTCAGTAACACTTGTAACTCATATAATGTTTGTAAATCATGGGTTTTTTATCTCTCAGGCCATGTATAGAAGCAACCGGATGAACACACCCGGATCATTTAGTACCATCTCCCAAGCATTGTGTTCCCAAGGAATTACCACCGAATACTTAACTGCCTTGCTGCCCTCTTCCCAGAGGCAAAAAGGCAACAACACCAAGGATTTTTTGACTTATAAGTTAAGTAAAGAGCAAGTTGCTGCAAAATATGGAATTCCCATACATACCAGTGAGTATACTTCAAAAATCAGCATGGTGATGTCACATCTTAATGTTGTCTACTCTATCTTCGTTTTTTATAACATATGAAGTATTCATGTTCTCCAAGTAGAAAACAATTATACAGCACTTACTGCATGCATGTTATGTATATTAACTCATTCACTCTTCACAACATCCCCCCTGTGTGCATGACTATATCTCCATCTTAGTAAAGGGAAAGGAGGCACGAAGAGGTTAAGCAACCTGACCACAGTCACCCAGCTTGGAAGTACCAGAGCCATGCTTTGAACCCATGCAGTGTGTTGCCAAGTCTAGCCCCTTATCCATAACACTAAGAATTTTTCAGCCATGAGTACACATCCTTTGCCAATAGATAATACAAAAACATACCTTAAATCTGCTGAGGTCAATTTTTTTTAACTTTCTAGAATCAGAAATTATCAACATAGAAGTTTCATGAATGCAGCAGAACTGTAAATGTTTAGTGGCACATCAAAGCCATTTATTTGATCAATAAATGTTGAGATGCAAAACACAGCTAGCTGAGCTCTTCCAAATAAATATAGATGTTTAGTATAGCAATACAATTGACTCTTTTAGTCATTTTTTTCTTCATTCAACAAACATTTATTGAACAGGTCTTAGGTATCTAGTACTTTCCTAGTAGCACAATGTGTTTTTTTTTTTTTTGTTGTTGTTGTTGTTAGAATGAAGTGCTAGTGAGGTAGAGCTGTTGTAAGCAATTTTGAAATGTGGTTTTCAACCTTCCTAACTCCTCTTGTTAAAATACCATCCCTTCTTATGTGCTTGTTTGTTGGGTTAAACTTTTACGCCTAAAAAAAGATTTGTTACTATGTTTTCTCACTTTAATATCAAATGCCTCACATCTGTTAATAGTGCTAAGGGATGTACTTTGGGGTGTGATAACAATAATCTGTCGATTTACCATCAGGAAATAGATTTGAAATACATATACTAAAATGTTTTATTACACTTTCCTTGCAGCGCCATTTTGCTTCTCCCTTTATAAAGACATCATTAACATGCCTGCTGGACCTGTGATTTGGGCTTTCTTGAAACCTATGTTGTTGGGAAAGATTTTGTACGCACCGTATACCCCAGTCACAAAAGCAATAATGGAAAAGGTTTGATTATTAAAATTCAAAGTTTCTATCTTGCATATTAAGATGGTTTTCAAAGTAGCAAACTTCCAAATTTACTCTATCTGACTCAGATTTCTTTATAGTTTACCTACTATTACCCTTGGCTTTCTGAAACTGTTAATAATTCTCCACTTCTGTCCTGTATATATTTAAACAACGTAGATTGGGTGGTAGCCCTTTGAAGAGAAATGAACCACATTGAGGCTTAAAGATGAGGTTAATTAAAGCAAAACCTCAGACTTTTCAATTTATCTCCAAAAGCTGTCCTAGAACTCTCGTCTAACTTTAAAAATATGTAAAAATATTGGCATTAGAAAAAATAATATTGGAGCATTACATAAGTAATTTATCAAAAACAATCCCTGAATTATAGATTCTTGACTTTATATTTGGTTGTATGATTTAACATCTTATTTAAAGAGAGACATTGAGAATGACAGCATTATTAATAGTAACTAATCATCTATGTCATTTAAACATAACATTTCCCTCTCACTTTTTGTGTTTTATTATACTTTTATTTTGAAATACTTCTAAACTTATAAAAAAGTTGCAAAAATAATACAAAGAATTCCCGTAAATATTTCAGCCAGATTTGCCACTAGGTATATCTATCAATACATAAAACATAAGGGTTTTCTCCTGAACCATTTGAGAGTACATTGCAAACATTATACTCCCATTACCTCTAAATACTTTAGTGTTTGTCTCCTAAAAACAAGAACATTGTCTTACAAAACCATTGTACAGTTATCAAATTCAGGAAACGTACCATGGATATAATTCTGTTACCTAATATCACCCCATATTCAGATTTCACCAGTCCTCCCAATGATGTCCTAAATTATAGCAATTTTTCCCTGACCCAATATCCAATCCATGGTCATGATTTTCTGTTAGTTATAATTTCTCTTTGGTCTCCTTTAGTCTGGAGCAGTCCTTTGGCCTCTCTTGTCTTTCATAACATTGTTATTTTTTAAGAGAACAGTACCATTGTTTTATAAAATGTGTCTTAATTTGGGATTGTCTGATATTTTCTCCTGATTAAATTCAGGTACATGATAAATTTTGTTTTCAGTTACAGTTGACATTCAACATCATTTTATACTAGTTTCAGGTGTACAGTGTAGTGGTTAGACATTTGTATAATTTATGAAGTGATCCTCCAGATTGGTCAGGTACCCACTTGGCACTATCCATAGTTATTAAAATATTATTGACTGTATTCCCTAGGAGAGAATCCCTCTCACTTTTAAAATTGGCTTTCATGATTTGAATTATAAACTTAATACTTTTAAAATGATAGAATTACATTGAAAAAAATCTCTGCTTTACCATTACTTGGTCATTAAACTATAATTTATGTGAATATAACGTTATTTTAAATCTTTATAAAAATAGACATGTGGTCATCTCCAATTTCTAGAATGTTCTTTGTGTTATTGTTTGTGTTTTAATACCTTATTTGCTTTATTGACTACACATTTCTACACAATTTTGCATTAATTAAGTCATTGCATGCTTATGTTCTAAGTGAAGTCTTTTTTCTTTCTATTTAACTCTCATCTCTTTTTGTTTCCTCTTGATGCTACTCTTTCTTCCATGTAAATTAATGAATGTTAGCATTCAAGGATGTGCCTTTCTATAATTTATTCACATTACTCTCATTCTTTATACATTATTAAACTATATATACACTTATATGCAGCGATTGTTTGCATTATTAAAATTAAGTTATATTATAATACTTTTTTGTTTGTTTGTTTTACTCACACAATAATACCTTGTGGAAATTCTTCCAACTCAATAAGTATAGTCTGATTCATTCTTTTTTGAAGATTGACATTTTTTTCATACCATAGGATTTACTCAGCCGATCTTCAGTTGTTTTGGGCATTCCTTTTTTTTTCTCCAGTGTTTGCTTTTGGATTTGCTAATGTAAACAATGTGGTAGCAAATACTCTTGTGCATATGACTTTACACAATGCTATTTTTATTTCAGTGAGCTGAACCCTCAAGATTGAGGGATTGAAGGATATCGTATATTATTTTAATGACTGTTGTCAGATAGCTTTTCAAAAAAAAGGCTGTAACACAGCCGTTTCCACCAGCAATATATGAGAATATCCCCGTTATATCTTTGAACTAGGATGTTTCTTTAGCAGTACAGTTAAGTTTATTTTTGGTAAAATGAATAACTTGTGAGAACTCCAGAAGACGTGCTTTCATTTTGGCTGTAATTTCACTCTGGAAATGAAGCAAACCCTAAGATTTCCAGTTTTTATAAATGATCTTGACCCTGTAAAAGCTTCCATTTAGAAAATTTTAACCACGTGGGAAATGTCTCACAATATTTTTTATCTTTTAGAAGTATGTTTTAAAGTTACATAACAAAACAGCCTTAACATACCTTTTTGAAATATAGTGAAAATACTAATAAACCAGATGTTTTCGTTTTCATTTTTTTGTCTTTAAGTCTAATGTAACTCTGAGGCAACTGGCAGAATTAAGAGAAAAATCTCAAGAGTGGATGGATAAGTCACCACTGTTCATGAATTCTTTCCACCTGTTAAACCAGACGATACCAATGCTCCAGGTAGGGGATGGTTCTGTCATTTACCTTCATATGAATTATAATTTTTAAAGTTATAATTGCCTTCATTTATGGGCAGACAGAAACTTAGAACCCATATTCAGAAGATTAAAATTGCCTGTCCTCCAGAGAGTGAATCTGAGACAAGGTAACTCATGTTCATAGTCACTCATGTTCATAGTCATCTTCACTTCCTGTATCACAACTTTTCTGTCTATCAGATAAGCCATTATACAAGTTGATCTTGAGACATAGCTAGTGGTGTAAATCTGTTTTCCAAAGATAAAATTCTCTAAAAGCTAGTTAAAATATGCTTATTTATTTCTCTACTTTAAATCATGTTTTGCTATTTTAACAGAAGCAGAATTCCTAAAATACTAATATCCTGGAGAAGAATGTTAAATTTGAGGAGATCTTTGGTTGAAATATATGACACTCTAGTTTAAATCAAAGATTTGATAATGCAACTCAAATACAGTGCATACAGGTTGAAAAGTATAATTTGCTGTTCTTGTGAAAATAAAAAAGATTTTCTGAAGATGAAGCAAATAATATGGGGAAATGTTGTAATCACAAACAGAGCTATTGGTAATGGAAGATCGAGCAGTAGAATTAGATCAGTTATCAATCAGAGAAGAGAAAATTGACAGAAATGATAACAACACATGAGCTGCAAGAGAGAATGGCTTGCCTATCAGAGAATTGAGAGAGGCCCTTGGAAAACTGATGGGGTCCTAGAATATTTTTGGAAAAAAAAAGCCCTTCTTTATAATCATGCTTAAGCAGTTAAACATAGAATGAGGAATTTGTATCATACAATTTTGTCAGAAAAATTATACCCAAAAGAAGCTTTATGCAGTCTTTGACACAAATAATTACTAGCACACAGTTATAATTATACCCTGATTTTTATTGTAAATAACACAATAAATTGCTAAAAATATATATGAAATCCATTTAATTAATATGAAATAAACTTTTCATCAAATGTCTTCCCCACAATTACTGTTAAGTTTGTTTCTAATTAGAAGCATGTTCATTTTAAGTGGCCATTTTTTTTTAGTGAATCTCAGATAACAAAGACTACTTAGACAGTACTTCATTGGCATGGCATTTTCCTAAGTGGAAGATTGCTGTTTTCTTCTAAAACGTTTTTTTCTGTGAACAAGTAAAAAACCCACACCTATGATTTCATTAAGTTTTGTTGACTAGAGTGTTGAATTAACAAAGGGCATGGCCAATACATTATAGTTCCCAAGTGCAGTCATTTGCTAAGAAGAAGCTCTGTGACCATGTCTTCAAGTGGATCATCTAATGAAAGTATCTTTATTCTGTTCTAGACCAAAATCAATCATTATTCTAGGTTATTGAGGAAAAACATTTCTGCAAATGTGCACAGAATTTGAAGTTCCCCACTTTTTAGCACGAGACCGGGCTTTGCCATCGTGAACCTTTAAGAAAGGGCCTTAAAATACTTGATCTGAAGTTTATGAATATCTAAAATGGGTATTTTGATAACCACTTCACAAACTTATGAGGATCATATGTGTGGAAGCACTTAAAAATAGTATTGCATCTCATAGAGAGGATTGATTATATGACAGTCTAGGTTAAAGATTAGACAATGAAACTCAAATACAGTGCATCCTGGTTGAAAAGCGTAATTTGATATTCTTGTGAAAGATGCAGGATTTTCTGAAGAGGAAACAAATAATGAGTGATGGGGAATGAAAATAAAGTTCAATGGATCATTTCTGAATTGCAACTAACACAGTGTTTTGCTTATTAATAGCGCTCTGATTCACAAGTTAATGCGCAAGTTAATTCCTGGTAAATAGATTTTGAAGGACTCTGTTTATCATGGTACATATCATGGTCATGGCCCTCAGTCTGCATGCTACCAACTACTCTTAGATCTCTCAGCAGCTATGAATTTAGTGAATTAATTCTATTACATATATATATATATATGCTCTATTAATACATATTACTGATAATCACTTATCTCCATAATAGCAAAACAGAAGATATTGTTAAGAAGGACAAAATAATAAGTGGTACTGTACTGCCCTCTAAAGGGACAACCAACTTAAGCCTAGCTCACATAAAAACTAGGCCCTTAATTTGCATATAAGATGAATAAGCATTTCTTTAATCAAGTTGAATTCTCTCGCTTTAACTTTCCCCTTGGCTCTCATTGTGTACCCTTAAAGGATTTTAGACAGTTTCTTTAGTTCTAGCTTTGTCATCTATTAACTGGGGATAATAATGATATTACAAAGTGTTATTGAAAACTGAGAAAATCAAGGAAATTATTAATAAATAATTTCTTTGATTATTATCTAATAAATCTATTAGTGTGCAGCACATAGTAGGCACTGTGAGATCCCACATAGTAGGATCTCAGTCAGTATTACCTAGTAGTACTTCTACATTGGTAGGAGTTATGTCTCTGAATTTGGGAGATAGCTCTATAAAAGCCTTTATATTTTAAATCCTTTATGTTTTATTTTAAGATTTTCAGTCTTTCCACTGATATAGAGTAATTTAGTTTAATCATCGGTTTATTTTTCCATATTCACATCATTGCACTTATTATAATATAAAACAATATTATAGTAATTTACATTTGATTCTTCTGATGCATCATTCACCCCTACTTTACAGAAAAGTAGCCTAAAGCTGGAAAAAGCTGAGCGCTTGCTGAAAGATTCACAGCTAGAAAGTAGTAGAACCGGTATACAAATGAGTGGTGATGTCAAATTCCATGTAGACATCACAGTTTTTAAAAGTTGTTTTTGTTTGTTTCAGTTGAACAAAATTCAGCCATCAACCATCAAAATTGTGTATACCATATGTTAAAACAAATGCTACAATAGCTATGGGAAAAAGGACTGTTAAATTGAATATAATTTCCTACTGTTGATTATTATGGTCGTAGCTGGCCACTTTAGCATGCTGACAAATGTGTGTCTATAAACCAGCAAAAGCTCAGCCTTTGAAGCCGTTACCAGCCACATACCTTCTCTTTCTTTCTCACGAATTTGTATGTGAGCATTTGCAAGATGATGCATTGATAATGCCCAATGGTAGTTACTTCATTTCATGGTGGATGATATTACACAGATATTAAATATGTTTTCTTGTTGTATTGAAACTGACTCCCTGTTATTATTTGTTAGAATACTCTAAGGAACCCCTTTGTGCAAGTGTTTATAAAATTCTCCGTGGGACTTGATGCTGTTGAACTATTGAAACAGATAGATGAACTCGGTGAGTCCAGATTCACAAAACTTTTATTCACTAATCATGTCAGAAATGTGAAAAACATTGTCCCATATGAGAACTTCTTTTCCTTTTCTTTCATGTTTGGTTTCTAGCCAGTTTTTCAAAGAAAAGTAAAATCCTGGATATATTCATCCATCTTCTCAGTTAGTTGTATAATTATGAGTAGTAATGATTATTTGGGTACCCAGTACCTATAGTTAGTTTCAATAATGATAATACATTATATTGTGCTTAAATGAAGCTTTTCCTATAATCTTAGGTAGGTTGGTGGGTTACTAGAAGTAAGAGGATACTATTTTTTTTAATTTAATTTTTATTTTTTGCTAGCTTGATGAAAAGCAAGTCGTTAAGGACAAAGGAAGATGAAATGGTTTATCTCTGTCTCCATTTAACATTTTATCTCCACTGGCCTCAGCATTGCTTTGACTAACCCAGAATGTAAGTGGAAGAGGTTATAGAGTTAGCAAAAGCAGAACAAAAGCAATGCAGAGACTCAACAGGAAATAAACCTAAATCAGTAGTCAGGTTGGATCCTCCTCTCACGGTTATTTAAAAGGAACAGGCTGAAGAGGATCAAAGGAAACCGTCTGAACTTATGCATTCCCCCTGCCACATCCCCACCTTCAACCTAAGGGATGCAAGACATCTAATTCAGTCTGTCTGACTCACTGTTGCTATGCAACCACGGGTATGAGGAAGGCATTGAGAGCATCAGAATTTGGCAGCAGTAGAGAAATGCCCTTCCTCCTGGAGCTCCAGGTACACAGTGCCTTAGATAGCAAGCCAGTGGGGAGGCAATCTGCCTACATCTGTATGGTACAGTGTATATATTTGTATGCACTTTATGATTAGACATTAGTGGATTTATTCTCTATAAGTGACTATCAAATGATATTTATTCTCTAAAAGCGAAATCTAAATATCAGGGATGTACTACAAAGTTCTTATATACATTTTAGTATCCCTAACTTGAGCTGTAGGAGGGGATTTTTAGAATTTAAAGGACGACTGAAATGAATATGGCAGCAAGATGATGTTTGTGTAATTATATGTGTAACTCAGTGTCTAAAAGGTTGTATAGTTTTGAATTTGGGAGGCACTGACCTTCATCGCTCTTTGATTCTGTCTACCAGCATTTCCAAAGAATCCTTGGTATTGTGTTGATTTCCAATGGCCACTGGAGGCCACTATTCAACCACAATTTTACCCCTCCCCCACCAACATCTTTATCAAGCAAAACATTTCACTTTAAATTCTAATGAAAAATTCGTTGAAGAACTTGCCCTTTGTGGGAAACTTAGTCTTAGATTGGACAATGGAAGAGACCTGTTTGGGTTCTGTGAGGAGAGATTTATGATAGTCACAGCCTTCTCAGTATTCATGATCAAGTCAGTGAAAGTTTAATTGGCCAAGTGATTTATTAACTTGCAATTTCATATTTACCCTTTGTCTCAGTTGATTTCCTCATAAGGAATCATGAATTTGAAGAGCAATTAAATTCTCTTTCTTCTAGAGTAATTACCTGAAATAAAACCTTGATTGTTTTATCTAGGTTAATACAGATATTAATAGAGATAATCCACATAATATTTTAAATCAAACAATATTAGAAAATTGTAAGTTTGTGGCACAGATTCTCACAGTCTCCTAAGAAATGATTCCGTAGCACAGTTTATTGAGTGATATAGTATATTTGTTCTACACACTCTGCATAGACTTTCCTTTGTTTAAATTCTTGCGTTCACATTCCCTGAACCCAACAGGCATTACTGTTTATTTGAAACTTTCATCTCTAGTTTCATTTTTCTTTCTAACTTTATGTAGATAGATTTTTAAAATTATTCATGTTTCATCATTGGTTAATTAAACTGTAGCAGAATATACTTTTAAATTAGCCTGTATCATTTTTTTGAACTTGGGTTTACTGTATTTGCAACTAGCTCAACATTCTCCTCAATGAATATTTGTGCAACTAGACACATTTTCCTAGATGTACAGTACTAGATATTTTTACTAAATTCTATGACTTTATGTTATTTCTAGTTTAATATATACTTAACCAAAATTGCAGTATTTTGCCTCTACTAGAAACAACATTATTATACATTATAATATGTTTTGTCTGTTTTGCTTTGCTTCTTTAGATATCCTGAGGCTGAAATTAGAGAACGGCATTGACCTTGTTGATCATCTCAACACACTATCTTCCCTGACAGTAAATATTTCCTCCTGTGTATTATATGACCGTATTCAAGCAGCAGAAAGTGTAGATGAAATGGAGCAAGAGGCTAAAAAACTCTACAAAAGCAATGAACTCTTTGGAAGTAAGTGTTATACCACTAGAATGTAAGCTTCTTTTTGTACTAAAATTGGCCAAATTCTTCCCTCACCTCTTTCATCCAGAACTCAGAAAAGTAGTCTGGGGGTCACTGTCTCCTCAGATGTCCTTAGAAACAAGAACCTTTCATGTAGTCAACCAACCATATCATAAGAAGCCTTCCACTTATGTGTAATTTTGTTGGGTTGGTTAAAATTAAGACTGAAAAGGATTACATGGTTACAGGGTAACATTGAGTCCATCCTCACAATCAGTCAAAATTATTCATTTTAAAGTGTGTGTGTGTGTGTGTGTGTGTGTGTGTTTAATTTCAGTAAGCAGCTTAGAGTGATATATGTATTCTGGCCACTTAGTTTGTGGTTATACCCTCAAACTCCTACTTTGAACCTCTGAGTTTGTCACTCCTAATTAACCATCTTTTCTGTAAATTAAGAGCCCGTATTTATTGTCACACTACTAACTCAGTTGACTCTTTGGCTTTCCCCTATATGTAACCTCTAAACAATAAGTAATGTCAATCATAAAGTAAACTTTCTTTTAAACAATAAATGCTGTTGTTGCCATTTATTTTTAGGTGTTATTTTTAAGCTTCCTTCTAACGGAAGCCAACACAGAGGCAATGGCTCTGAAGATGTCTATCTTCCTCCTGTCATAAAATATACCATCCGCATGAGCCTCAAGACCTCACAGACAACAAGAAGCATAAGAACCAAGATTTGGGCCCCGGGGCCACATAATTCTCCATCACACAACCAGATCTATGGCAGGGCTTTTGTTTACTTACAGGATAATATTGAAAGGGCAATCATTGAATTGCAGACGGGAAGGAACTCCCAGGACATAGCAGTCCAGGTCCAAGCAATTCCTTATCCCTGCTACATGAAAGACAAGTAAGTCTGTACCCTTCTAGCTTTTGTTAATAATCAACCACTTTGTTGAGAACTCATTTCTGTCCATTCATTCACGTGTCAAGTGAAAGGGATCATGTTTACCAACGCTTTGTCAAATGTGTGTTTCCAGGAAAGTGACCACAGCATAGGATACTGCTCTACTATAGCAGCTCATCATTACCAAAATGATGGGAATGTTCTTACCAAATGATCCATGTTTTCTTTGTCATAACTCTTAGTTTTCCAAGGACTTTGGTGCCAGAACTTGGAGAATTAAACTCTAGACTTGGGTGCATTGTTGCATGATTTTGTTGTTACCTGCTCTCTGCTGGTCCTACCTTTCTCTAGTCAAATGATGAGTTAAACAAGACTCATATTTAATTAAAAATCTGTGAGCACATTTTAGGGAAACATTTGACGGAACACAACATTGATCCATCTCTAAGACAAATATTGTGTTTTCTAAAACTGTGTTATGTACTATCGGTTCCCTTGCTAGGAATCTTTATCTAAAATGGTTTTGCTAAATGAACAAAAAATGTAAAGGTCATGCTTTTAGACAATTGAATTTGGATGCTCAATAAATCTGCCTGTTAGGTAGCACTGAAGGCTCCTCCATTGCGACCACGGGGAAAAATCAATACTCAATCAATCAATCAATAATAAACAAGGTTGGAGGACTTTTTAAAAGCTCATCCTCCTACCCAAAATCTTGAGGCTGAATATTACTTGAAAGGAACTGTACTCATTATTCAGCCCAGTTACTGCAGTTTATATACAACTCAGATGCTTCTGGGTGCTTTTTTTTTTTTTTCTTTTCTTTTCTTTTTCTCTCTATTGATGCTTCTGTCATCAATGGCTTGCAGTCACAGGAATGACCTGTGGGTTCCATGGAATGAAAATTCTCATCTATTTTCCTGCTCACATTTTTTTCTCCTTGTAAATTTTGGTACCTGGGATGGTCAGTCCCTGGATGTTTCTTTTAACAATAATAGTAAATGTACTCTTAATTCTTTTTGGGGAGTATGATCATAACACCCCACATATACATATAAACTCTTTGTTGCATACAAAGTGCTTTCATGTATATTGTTTTGTTTGTTCCAGTCAACAACCTCCGAGGGTAAGTGGGAGTAGGTATTATGAGCCATACTTTCCAGATGAAAAAATGACAATTCAGAAAGGGCAAGTAACGTGTCCAAAGTTGTACAGCTGGTAACACACTGGTCCTTTGATGACAATACCAGAATTTTCTCCTTTATCCTATACCAAACCTGAAATACATAGTCACTTGGAAGAAATATCACAGTGGATTTGTTATTAATGAATGAGGGCTTTTGCCTAATTCTAGAGCCAGAAACAGCATCAAGGCTGGACCTGAAACAAGACAAAATTCATTAAGCAAACATTCTTTAAGTGCCTACTCATGCCAGACAGCTTCCCAGGGGCCAAAAAAATTGGATATGGCCCCAACCTTCTCTCCTCCCTCACAAAAACCCCCTCATATCTCCGATGGTGCTACACATCTGATGCTAAAGTGAGAATAAATGATGGTGATGTCATGTTCCATTAATATTTGCATTTTTCATGGAAAACTTGAAGGTAATTCCTTAGCCTTATGATTAAAAAGGAAATGGCTTTGGGAACCATTCTGTAAGTAAAAGCTTCAGTGGAGCTTAATATGCAAAACAGATCAATTTAGAGTTTATCTCACTGAAAACTATTCATTTGCCTTAGCCCAAACAAAGGTGGCTAATGGAGGAAACCATAGTTCTCAAAGTGTGGTCCCTGGACAAGCAGAGTCAGCATCACCTGGGGAATTGTTTAAAACACAAATTCCTTACCCCACCCCAGATATAATAAATCAGAATCTTATGAGTAGGGCTCAGAAACTTGTGGGGTTTTTGTTTGTTTGTTTGTTTGTTTGTTTGTTTGTTTGTTTGTTTGTTTGTTTTTTAAGATTTTATTGGGAAATTGGGGGTGGGAACAGCATTGGGGAATCAGGAAAGGGGAACAAATTGCTGTCCTTTTGTTCTTCAGTCTAGTTGTGGAGGACGTTGCTTCACTGGCCCATGTTGGTATTATCATTGCGCTCTTCCAGGGTGAGGCAGATAGGTCGCTAGCCGCTGGATGGCTGCTCACGGCGGCTGATGGCCGCTCATGGTAGCTTAGGGAAGCCCACTGCAGTCCCACTGCAGCCTACACCGTCACCGGCAACTCTTGGCAGCCCAGCTCCAGGTCGAGCTGCTGTTCACCATCTTAGCTGTAGAGGGCGCAGCATCACTCGCCTTAATGTGGGATCCGAACTGGGGACCTGCTGCTCAGAGCTGGCATCCCAAGCCAGCTCTTAACCAACGCGCCACTCGGCTGCGCCAAGCCAACTATTATCAATGACCCACTCGAAAGGCCCAGAAACTTGTGTTTTAATAAGCCCCATAGATGATTCAGATACATGCTCAACTTTGAGAAACACTACATTTGAACGTTCAGGTATCATGAGCAGGCCACTCAGGAATATATTCAGGTCATGATGAAGTCTTCTAGTGAATCTCTAGTTAGCATATTACCAGAAAAGATATTCCTATACTGTTTATGAGACATCTCCTGGAGCATTATTTTGAGGAATAAAAGTTCTTTGGCTGCATTTTAAATTGAATGCGTTGAGTTTTATTGGATTTTATTTGGGGAAATTTAGTTTAATAATCACTATGAGCTTCAAAAGAGTAGATAAATACAGTAATTTGGGAAGATATAGCTTTTACCTAGATAAACCAATTATCATCTAATTCCAAATCTGCCTTTTTAGATAAGAATTTACTTTAGGCAGAAGGATTTTGAGCCTTGCAATTATGTCTATGTAATAATTATTTTCCTGGACAGGACATACTCAAACACACTTTAAACGATATGGCAATTTTATCTAACAATCCAGAGCTGTTTTCATTCTTGCAGCATTACAGCAAGAAAATTATGGGCCCACTGTCAAGTCAGCTTCACACTTCATAAACAAAGGAGTAATATTAGTGATTATTCTCAATTTCAAAACAGGAGTATAATATCAGCATAAAGAGGAATGTGTTCTTTATATGTTACAATCTGCAAGTATGACATTCATTTTGGTCACTGGATTTGTTTGTTTGTTTTTGTTTTTCTACAGCTTCCTAACCAGTGTCTCTTATTCTCTTCCAATTGTGCTCATGGTTGCCTGGGTTGTATTTATAGCTGCATTTGTAAAAAAACTTGTTTATGAGAAGGACCTCCGGCTTCATGAGGTATGTTAAGAATCTCTTCTTATTATGAAAAAGTTATAATTGTATAATAATTAATTATTATGATTTTCATTATGCCTATTCAAACTCAGAAAACCTGAGCCATACTTTGTGATTAGAAAAATGCTTTATGCATCATAAAGACAACTGATAAGATGGTAGTTTGCTTTCCCAAAAAATTACATAGAAGTTATTTTATAAGTGCTTTTGAGCTTCTGAATAAAATATTCTGAATAATTTATAGATAATAATAATTTATAGATAACAATAAACTATTCTGAATAAATCTGAATAAAATCTAAGTACAATTTGGGTCCTAAGAATAATTTTTGACCAAGATGTTTACCTATAACAGTTAGGATCTAACAGAGGAAGTTTAAATAATGAAAATAGTACTATTAACACAACAAGATTGTTACACAGTAACAAAATGAGCTCAAATAAAGATATAAATATAGATATACAGTTGACCCTGTATAATGCAGGGGTTAGGGACATGAACCTCTATGCAATTGAAAATCTGCATATAACTTTTGACTCCCCCAAAACTTCAGTTATCCCTTGGTATCCACAAGAGATTGGTTCCAGGATCCCCACAGTTACCAAAATCTGCAGATGCCCAAGTCCCTTATATAAAATGGCATATATGAATGCATACAGTCAGCCCTCCACATCGCAGATTCTCATCTGTGGATCAAAATTGCTGTTTTTGATTTACAATAGATTGAATCCTGGGATGTGAAACAGGGGGCTGACTGTATATTTATTGAAAAAATTTTGCATGTTAGTGGACCCATGGTATTCAAACAAGTGTTCAAGAGTCAACTGTAGATGTACAGCTAGACATAGACATAGACATAGTCATGACACAGACACAGACACAGACACAGACACAGGCATATGGCTTCTTTCAGCTCTCAAGAAGCAAATTCTCTTCCTGGTGTACCTTGTCTCCTTCAATTGCCGCTGGTACTGACTTGTGATTTATAAACTAAGAATTTCATGTTATGCTACTGATTAGGTTAATAATACCACAATGGAAGACAGGATCTAGGATGTAAAGCATGATCTCTTCTTGAGCATATTCTTCATCATTATCCCCAAATCCAAACTATCTTACTTCATTTGAGAATTTATGAAATAGCATTGTGTGAATTTTGGATTGTATTGGAATAGAAATTATTTTATCTGTTCTTCCTTTAATGAGTCCATTCTTATGCTCATGGCTGTAAAGACAGTGGAAACATTTCAAAATTGGGGTGCAATAACTATTGCAAGGCCTCGCTGACAATCTGATATAATGAGGTTAGGGTAACCTGTTAATCCACTTACACTTTTCAGACTTACTTTGCCAGTGCTTCTAGGCAATTGATTATGTCTCCTTACAAGGTATAAATTACTGCTTCATATTTTTGGTAGCTCAGCATCAGTCTTCCAGGGTTTTCCTAAAGTTTAAACCTATACTTCTTACCTATTCTGTTTGAATTCTGGTTGATTTTCACAGCTGAAACCCAAATTTTTATATTTCAGTTATAAAAACCCACATTTTTATATTTCAATTTGGTAAACTTCTCAGCAACTGGTTTGAATCCTGTTGTATTCAGGACTTCTGCAATGGTTTTTAATTCCAATTTAGAAACTTGAATCCATGCCCTGAGCCATAATTTTGATTGTAAACTCCTACTTTATATTTTTCTTTCAGGTACCTGGTACTTAGATGTGAATCTTCACAGGTTAAAGGGAAATTTTGAAGTAGAAAACTGTGATAAAACTAAGTTATTTTCTACTTCAAAATAAATACCTGCTTTAAAAATAGAAACACGTAGTAAATATGTGTGTGTATATATGCATATATACATGATATATATAATACACACATACATGTATATACATACAGAGGGTGCCAAAAACTGTATACATATTTTAAGAAAGGAAAAAACTGTATTAAAATTGTAATAATCAATATATATCAATAACAAAAGATGAATACAAGTCATGTGTGTACATTTTTTGGGCATCTCTGGTATATACCTATAAAACACACATACAGTGTATTATCTTGTGTTTGAAGATTATGCTTTCTAAGCACATCTGTGTGTGTCACCAATTAATATCAAAGCATAATGAAGAACCATTTCTCAACTGGATACATGAAACGCATTTCTAATGATGAACCGTTTTCTGTTTGGTAGCCCTGTGTCTTCATTGTTCAGGCACCTACTTTCAAATTTTAACCACCTGATCCTGAGGGTCAAAGTCATATAATAAAGATCACTGAACTTGGAATCAGAGAATCAGGCTTCGAATCTTCCATATTCACTTGGGCCCAATCCCTTAAACATTCTGAGTGTATGACCAAGGCTTCACTCAGCACTGTATTTCCAGGAGGCAGCTCTCTCGTTGCCAGAACAGAGGAGGCATTCAATTACATACTTGATCAGTTCCAAGATGAGGATTTTTTTCTTCACATTTTAAAGCCCCTGAAATGGGATGCATTTGATAGGGTGTCATAATTTATTTGGCAGTGATTTTTCTTTCTTGATTGCATGTAAAATAATGGTACATTTTAAAAGCAGTGGTATCCTAAATTCAAAGGAATATGATGTATTTGTGAGATGAATGGAAGCAGGTGTGGAAGGAGTAGAATATCCCCAGTGCCTTCTGCTTGGCCTCCCTTCACTGCCCACAGTTCTAAACTAACCCCCTCCCTTTTGAAGATGAAAAAACTGAGCCCAGAAAGTAAGAGGTGAATTGCTGAAAATGATGGAGCTAGTTGATGGTAGAACTGGAGCTAGAACTCAAGTGTCTTGACTCCTAATCAATCCTTTTCCATAACATAGCTACCTTCCCGCTCATAACCTTATTTCAGTAGCATAGACTCATAAGAACTTTTGAAGAGGTTGATAGATATAATCTTGTAGGTTACCTGAGATTCAAAATCACTTTTTAATGCTATTTTTTTATATATATTTCGTTAAGGTCTAAAGCTACCCACTCTCTACTTCCTTCTCATTACAAATTAAATCAACAAGGTAAAAAACAAATAAACAAATAAAAAAAAACCAAACAACTTTTTTTCTTCTGTAATTATTCTCTAACTGGGCAAGGAAACCAAGTTAGTTATGATTTCAATGAAACCATTAACCTTTGACCTGTTATGGTGTGACTCCAGTGAATTCCTTTAACTTGCTGAAGAAATTAGGATACATATTAATGACAAATAAGTTTACTGATGAAATCAAATCTGTAGTTTTTAAAAAAAATTTTCAAAATGCCTTTCAATTGGGTATTGTTCGACATTCCTTCCTTTTAAAAATTAAAATATTACAACTTTACAAAATCTGCTTTTTGTAACACAGGAAGAGTACTTTTTCATGTTATGTTCTTGATTTATGGTTACTTTCATCTATTTGGTCTAACATAAGTCATTTATGGGGATTTCAGTACTTACATTCATTTAGTTGGAGACAAAATTTTGGAGTTGTTCTTTCTCAGTTTACACAGGTAACCTGAAATATCTGTAAGCTGCAGAGATGTTACTAAGAATGATGCAAGGATTTTTAGTCTTTTGGAGCTTCATTTTAGACTATTTTTTGTGCTTTCTTAACATACACTATCCATCCTCCTAGTGAGAATTTGGAACATTCCAAGTAATGATCCCAACATCCTTTGTGTCTTACTAAAAAATAATTTAAATATCTATTATTAAAAGAATTTTTTAAATTGAGGTAGAAAATGTTATTCCCTACAAATTCGTGCTTGATCTTGAATTGAATGAATACACTTTTATCAAGTAAATTTATTAATATTTATAACTTCTTTTTTGGATAGCATTAATGTCCATCTCTAGGTATAAGCTCCTCTTGAATGTGGCAACACATTTCTGCAAAATCTTACAGCATCCCTTTCTTCTCATTATTTTCTGCCATAAACCATAAGCCACTGTCCAAAGGGGCTTTCCTTGAACAACAGGTTATCAGGTATTTATGAATTGCTCTGGCAGGTTGGAGGTTTGAGACATGTGACTGAAATTGCAAAGCTGGCACCTGACACCTGTCTCTTTGAAGAGGAACTACCGACATCCAAGAAAGCATAGTATTGCTGTGGGCCATCTTCCATCAGCAAGTTTGGTCTTGTTTATTACAACAAAGTTGGCAGTGGATCAGGATAATCTATGGATGACTTACATGTGCTCATTGCTCTTACTCTTTGTGCATAACAGCTGTTCTTCTCGTGGCATAAAATCCAAAAGTTTAACACTGATGTTTCATGCTAGAATGTTAAGCAGTGACTATTTTTTGGAAGCACCTAACTCAATTTGTTTCAATCAAAGGCAATAATCAGTCTCCAACTTTTACCAACTCTTAAAAATAGGAATCTGATCACGAATATGAAAAATTTCAAAATCACAGTGATAAACACCTTTAGTCCTTGTCTTTGGATTTCTTGAATTATCTTTCAACTAGGCTTTGAATGGAGAATTTTCTAAAAATATATATATATATATACTGCAGCTATCAATTGTCAGGGAAGGAAAACACATGTGTATACTCATGAAGTCAGATTTATTTTATGTCCTTGATAGTTTCCTGGATATTTTGTATCCACTTAGTGAAATATATTCATCATTCCTACTGGCATGCATTGGGGGGTGAAAATTTTTCATAAAGGCCATATGAACTTGGGTGGTGAAGGTCAGCTTTGGAGTAGATATATTTGTTCCATAACTCCTCATTTAATTATATTCAAATAGGCAGAAACTCAATAAAAACCTCAAAATACAAATAGCATGAAAGATAAATATGAAGCTAATATATCATGATTATACTTGAATAAGTGAGTATCCCTGAATTGTTGTCATGAACCATGACACGGAAATTTTCTCACATGGCTTGGGGCACAGGGAAAGAATTTCTAAAATAAGATGTATTTGTATGATGTCTTTTTTCACATCAAAATGTAACTTTGTTTTCAATGATAGATAAGTAGCAATTGGAGGAAACTTCCATAGTGAATCTTTGCTCCATGATGTGTGTGTGTTTTTTTGTTTTTTTTCACTTTGACCCAGACTTCCATTCCTATGGAAACAATAGGTTGAGTCTTTACAACAAAGGCTGATAGAGCCTGGGAGGAGAGAAGCACTAGGAAGGAAAGAGGGGAAGGAAGGGCAAAACTAAGAGGAAAAGTCAGAGGCTTTCTCAGCGGTGATTAGTGTAAGGCCCATAGCTTAAGCTGTTGGCAGTGAGGTAGTTGTTTCCATGGTAACAACCTGAGCAGCAGAGTTATCAAAATGTGAAAAGCTGCAAAGGCAGAAAGTAAAATTCATTGTTTTGCTTGTAGAGCAGAAGAGCCCGCACTTTTCCTATATATATTTTTTTCTAGACAAGTTAGTTTAAAGAGGTAGGGATTATAGTTAGTGGAACATTTGTTTTGTTCTCTTTTAATGAAACATTGGATTCATAAGCTTAATTTTAATCATGAATTGTTAAAATTAGAAACCAGGATGTCCAGGTTCCCCCAAAGTACCACATGCCACCAAATTCAAGACACCCAAGGTCCAGGGAACTTTAGATGGTTCAGAATCCTTTGAGTTAATGCACAAACACATCATGTTGTCTGTTTTTCTAGCTTGGTGAAATGCCTTGGCCTCTAGGAGTATCACAGAGTTATCAAAGACTATCAATTGAGAAAGAGATATATAGATCATCTATGATACATGAGTTCATTTTGAGTGTCTAAATGCCTTTTGGAAAACAAAGATGATAAGCCTGACCTAGACTGCCAATGATTTTAAGAATGGAGAAAGTGTGGCAAAGAGCAGAAAGTGTCCCTTTCAAGGTGCCATGTTTTAAATTTTTAGGAATCAGGTCTGTTCTGTTTCTCCCAGGAACATGAATATTGATTGTTTAGTAAAAACAAAATATGTAGTTTTATTATTTCAGTCCCTACATTGAATTTGAAGTAAACCATGTGTTTTTTTTTTTCCACCAGCTGGAAATATTCATTCCACACAAATGTCAAATTCATGTTGTAAAATTCTGCAGGGAATATCACAAATTTTGATGGTCTACTCTAAACTAATTTAATCTGGAGACATCAGTTAGATGCTAGTTATAAAATGAAATTGTAAAAGAAGCTCACCATCCAAATCATTCATTATTTCATTAAATTGAGGCACTCTGGGAGCATACAATCTAAGATGAGCTGGGATAAATGGACATATTAATTTCACATAGCAAGCATGGACAAATACTTGACTTATCAAAAATCATCAAGATGCCTAGTTCCATATATGTGAAGAGTCTCAAGGGCATTTTGACATGGTGCAGGAATATTATTAGCTGCGAATGTATCAGCTGAAGCACCAGCTAACACTTTTTCTTTTCACAGTACATGAAGATGATGGGTGTGAACTCCTGCAGTCACTTTTTTGCCTGGCTTATAGAGAGTGTTGGATTTTTACTGGTTACCATTGTCATCCTCATCATTATCCTCAAGTTTGGCAATATTCTTCCTAAAACAGACGGGTTCATTCTGTTCCTGTATTTTTCGGACTACAGCCTCTCAGTTATCGCCATGAGCTATCTCATCAGTGTCTTTTTTAACAACACCAACATCGCAGCTCTGATTGGAAGCCTCATCTACATCATTGCCTTTTTCCCATTTATTGTTCTGGTTACAGTGGAGGATGAGTTGAGCTATGTGATAAAAGTATTCATGGTGAGTCAACTGGTCACGATGGAATGGCCAGTGTGCGACAGAAATGGACCCTTTTTTGTTTTCAGACTCTCACACTGAAAGTACACTTCTCTAAATTTAGATGTTTAGTGAGTGCAAAATAAGCTTAACTGTCCTAAAGATAGTCAGTTTTTCTACATCATTGTATACTGTACAAGCACAAGACTATGAAAAGGAAGCATTTTCCCTGTAGTTTCTAAAACCATAATAGGTGCTGCTGCTAATAGTTCCTGAAGAAAGTGTCAGTTAAAATGTAACATATCACATTTTAAAGATCATCGAGAATTCTGACTTTTCTCTGGTCCAATTCCTTAAATGTCTTAAAGCCTCTATTACTGGAATTATTCTCATATGGGAATAATTGTCATGGTTTTCATGGCATACAATATAACTTACAGGCATAAAAACAAATGCACTGACAGCATATAATCAATTTTGATTCCTTTTCTGCCTTTTAATTCAAAAGGACTAAATTGATTTAAGAATTTTAGTGAAAACATTAAGATATGAAATTTGGAAAGCAGAAGTAAACCTCATCCCTGACACATTAAAACTTTCTCTTTTATAAATGAAATAGAAAGTGATAAGTAATTTCCATCTAACAATGACCACTTTGGATTTAAACAAAATGTAAATGTTTAATTTGTTGCAATAATAAGCATTCAACCAATTGATATTTGAGTATATTTTCTTGTAGCACTTCTACTTCCTGAAATCAACTTATGAAGTAAAAACATCTTTTGGCCCCTAACGTTTCATTTGATGTTAGTGTTAACATTGCATTACTTTGCAGTTGCCTATTTTATACACTACTGAGAAACATTTAATAAGTTTAGATATATATTTTGGATTTCTGAAAAACCTTTTCCAAGTTGTAGTTTTCCTGTTTGTGTTTTCTGCTGTTCCCTCTTCTCTGTTTTTCAGTTGTAGTGCCTTGCTAAGGGGCCTCTGTATTTTTTTGAACATGATTTTATCTACATATGTCCGAACTTTTAAGTATACTAAGATCCCTCGGAATAAACTGTGTGAAATCTATGTGAATGATCACTGCTGTTTCTTCTCTTCACAGAGCCTGCTGTCACCAACAGCTTTTAGTTATGCAAGTCAATACATCGCGCGATATGAGGAGCAAGGCATCGGTAGGCTCACTTTCTTTAAAACTGGGTTTTATCTTTAACAACTGCAGTACGTCTTGCACAAGAATAAACATATGTGTTCACTTCTTAGGTCTTCAGTGGGAAAATATGTACAGTTCCCCTGTTCAGGATGACACCACCTCCTTTGGCTGGCTGTGCTGTCTCATCCTAGCTGATTCTTTCATTTATTTCCTTATTGCTTGGTACGTCAGGAATGTTTTCCCAGGTATGAACATGCTTCCTACAGATACCTGCTTTTTATGGTTTTCACCATTATACGTCAGCTAATATATATTTTCTAATATTTAGTTTACCATATATAATCTCCAAAGGGAAATACTTAAGTCTCAAAACTAACCAACAATTTTCCAGGATGAGATAATACACTAGTGAGTGCCTTCTCTGATGTTCCTATAAAGGATGCAGTGAATTAAGAAAGCATGGAATCCAATCTTTCCATGTATAAGGCAAAAACCAAGTCTCCTAATTCTAAGGAGAATTTACCAAGCTAGCTGGGTTCCCGATCCTAGGTCTCAAGTGGTCATTATTTCTAACATGGTTGGGAGTTTTTCCACTAAATCTTATTTGTATTTGTACATTTTTTTCTGATGCTGTAAATGAATAAAAGAGTGCTATTCTATTCATATAAAACTTCTATAAAAGACAAATATGTAGAGGCAGGAATAAGATCCCTGATAGCCTGGGAGTTGGGATGGGAGCAGGGCTTATCTGCAAATGGGCATGAAAAAGCTTTTTAAGGTTATAGAAATGTTCTAATATGTAGATTTTGGTAAGGGCTGCACAACTTTATAAATTTACTAAAAATCATCTTATACTTGCAATGAGTAAATTTTATGGTATAGAATTATAACCCAGTGAAGCTGTTTAAAAAAGAAAGAATAAAGAAAAACTATCTCTTTTACTTTACTTTGAAAACAAAGGCCATTCTTTAGTTTTATATAGTATCAAAAAACAAACAAACAAAAAACTACTGCCTGAATGATATCCAGTATTCTGTTGTTTAGCTTCTGATGCTTAATGTTAACAATCAAATAATAGTTATTTTCCCTAATGTATTTTTATTACAGGTACATACGGCATGGCAGCCCCATGGTATTTTCCAGTGCTTCCTTCCTATTGGAAGGAGCGATTTGGATGTGCGGAGGTGAACCATGAGAAAAGCAATGGCCTCATGTTTACTAATATCATGATGCAGAACACCAATCCATCTGCCAATAAGACAAGTAGGTCAACAACATGCATTATTATGAGAAAAGTAATATAAAATTTGCATGACTTGTGATTTCAGTTAAGTTTTTCTAAATGGCAAAAGTTTCCTTTTTGTTATGGACGAATATGTCTACACATATGTGTTTGGACTCTAATGGAGATTAAATTGTGGCTTTTTCTGGGCTCATTAGCTCAGTCGCTTAGCATATGGTGCTAATTAATCCAAGATTGTAAATCCCTTTGTCCAGTTAGACTCACACAGAGCAAAGTTTTGTTCCTTGGCCACAGTCTGCACCCCTAACTCCAGCCATCTGTCACTAGTCATAAGGAGTAACCAAGTAACAAGTCTGGCATAACCCATAATTTGTCATAACCCATCACCAACACTGAGCAAACAGTTTTAAAGCTAATGTCTCACTGACGTTGGGTGGGTGGTGTCATCTTTATAAAGTGAGGATGACCCGCATAAGTGGCCCTTTTATGATGCCTGAAGGAGATGTAGACAGTAATTAATGAACTGGATTCTATAAACCACAGGTCTGATCTAGCCCTGCTACTGCAAAAATCACACTTTGTAGACAGTTCTTTCATAAGTTGGTATCATTCTATTCAGTTAGAAAACCAGGCCTTAGGCTTGTTTTTTGAATACTTGAGATCTGTTGGATAATACTGAATTTATTATCATGATACTGTATCCTGGGACTGCTCATTCTGACAGAGAAGGACCATATAAACCTTAGAGAATGTGGTTCTACCTCCTCATTTATTCTTTAACCACCTGAGGAGGAGGCTGAAGGCTATAATCGATCATTTGTTTCTAGAATTCATTTTTACTTAGAGGGCTATATTTTTATACAGAAAAAGTCCAATACTAGCTGCATTTTCTTTCTTTGTGAGCTTAGAACTCTTCTCTTGGTTTCTATCCAGGTCCTGATTGCGTGCTTCCCTCCAACATTGAGCCTGAACCTAAAGATGTCACAGTTGGAGTTGCCCTGCATGGAGTCACAAAGATCTACGGCTCAAAAATTGCTGTTGATAACCTTAATCTGAACTTTTATGAAGGGCATATTACTTCATTGCTGGGTCCCAATGGAGCCGGGAAAACTACGACAATGTATGTTATTTTTCAACACTTACTGTCTCAGAAGCACATTACTTAATATTTTCTTGCCTCTTTCATAAAAAGTAAAGTCATTACATCTCTCAGATGGATTAAGATGGTTCACCTTGTATACTGTGGGATGGAGCCTAAATCAGAGATCTACCCCAAAATGTGAGTGCTAAGGCCAGATCAGGCCTGGCAGACAGGTTTATTTGTTCCATCTAGGGTTGGTCCACCCAAATTTTTAAGTACTTCTTAAAAATTTTAATTCAGTACCAATATTCTAAATTAGGGGAGTTTTCTAATAAAAAAACAAATATTCTTGGCACCTCTTAGGGAAAAGGAAGTTTGGCAACATTGAGTCTACAGGTTGGGACAATTGATTGGGGCTTGTTAGTGATACTTCTCTTCAAGGGGACATTTGCTTTCTGGTTCATTCCAGTCCCCACCAAACCATACTACCTCACTTGCCCACTCTGTTTTACTTATTTGCATTTTTATCCTGGCTCATGTACAACCTTGAGTTTACACACTCTGGTAAAATCACACTCAGCCCCATTGGCTCCCTCTCATGGAACCCTTGGTTTGATTCATAAAGAAACAAAAGAATCACCAGCTATTA